TCACTCACACACACACACACACACACACTAAACTGTGCTGGTTTGATTTGTAGAGTCTCCTACTCTGTATGTGGGCAGCATGTCTCTGGTGAGTCTGCTATGTGTGGATTGATTGATTATTGATTGATTACTGATATAGTTCAGTGTGAATCTGTTGTTTGTCATCAGACGGCGGCGGATGGAATCATCACGTCTGCAGCCTCGTACTCTTATGATGCTCACGCTCAGCAGATCCGCTTCAGGAACTACATGACCGTCTTCAACGAGTCCATCTCTATGGATCTGCTGCTGCTCTTCCAACAGGTGCACCCCAGAACTCTGAGTTTATATCATACAATCCATGCAGATCTTTTTTCTCAGAACTGCACGGTTAAAAGTCAGAATTGCAAGATTTTTTTTTCAATGTAGAAACAAGTTTCCAGAGATGGGAAATAAGCTCTTAAAGATAAGGCTTTCTGAAGGGTGTTTTCACAGCGATGCCACAGAAGAACCGTTTTTGCTTCCTCAGAGAACCTTTCAGTAATCAAGAACCATTATCTTCTTAGTGTGAAGAACATTTTAGTGATTTAAAGAACCTTTTGTCCAAAGCAAAGATTCCATGGATGTTAAAGGTTCTTCCCAGCTAAAAAAAAGAAGAAAAAAGAAAATGTTATTTCTGATTGTTCGAAACATCTATTAATGTTTTCCTTGGTTATGTGAATGTTACATTTGATCATTTTCCAAACGTTATGGAACGTTACTTTTGAATGTTCTCTGGACATTCTGAAATAAGTAGTAACATTTAAGAACTGTTTGTTAGAGCTTCTTCTCGTCTCGTCGCAGGGTGTGATGTATGAGATCGATTACTCGCGGCTGTCCTGTCAGAAGAAGGTTCTGGAGTCCTCGTTCCACCCCACGCGGGTCCCAGACGACGCCGTCTTCATGGGTCAGGTGATTCTGGGAACCATGTCCGTTCCCGGTCTGGGTCTGCTGACCAACTCCTGGGTCGGAGAGATTCCTGAGATTCAGGGTGAGAGTAATACCGCGGTATAACGCAGTGATTGCCTGGAGAGTCAAACACAGTGATCGTATAGTACCATGGTATAAATCAGAGTACCATAGTAAACAGCTGATGTGTTCAGGTTTGTATGGAAGCTTGTTTCCACCACGGAATAAACAAATAAAAAAGGTAATTGTGACTTTTTTTAAATCTCACAATTCAGGCTTTGTTTCATGCAACTCTTGAGAAAAAAGTTAGAAATGCATGATATCAATTCAGAATTCTGAGAAAAAGTTCATAATTTTGAGATATAAACGTGACTTCTGACTCTTCTTGCAATTCCAAGTGTATCCACCTCATTTTTCAACGCGGAAGTAAGCCGTTTTCTGTGAGTGTGCGAGACTTCCGGTTCATTAGCCGCTGCGGGGAAATAACGAGAAGAATAACAACGTGCAGTAAACTGATAACGCTACAAACCAGTGTGTTTATAATTAAGATAATACATTAAAATAATGTGGTAAGACACACCAGTTTGCAATATCAAGCAGCAAAACATGCTGTATTTTTACAGCTAACAATAGACTAAGACTTACGGTGGATATCGCACAATTCTGATTCGATATTAATTAGTCACAATTACCTTCTTCATTTTTTTATTCTGTGGGGAAACAAGCTTATATGGTTTTGTGATTTAGTAAAACTCTAAACAATGAACAAACACTCCTGATAAAAGAATCATATTAACTGCTGTTAGTGATCTGAAAAATGACTCTGTAGTCTTCTGTAGAGCTGAAACTGAATTAGTTTCATAACTGATGAATTGATCAACATTATCATCACTGTGAAGCTGCTTTGAATCCGTCTGCGCTGCATGAATGTTCTGAGGTCTCCGTGTGTCTGCTCTTCAGCACAGTACATGCTGACCTTCACGGAGTTCACGTGTCTGCCGGTCAGTGCGATGGTCTTCACTCCTCAGACCGGATGGATCACCTTCAGGTCCAGCATCTCCTCACACACACACACAGATCACACTTCATCAGCATTCACTAACATCAGTCTCTCTGCTGTCTTTGGTCTCGCAGCTTCTACAATCATCTGCTGGGCGTCCAGAATCCTCAAGACTTCGTTCCTCCGTTCTTCTGTCCCACAGCGGCTCCGGAGGAACATCTGCCCAAAACCAGCTTCCTGAAGGCCATCCGTCCGTCTCAGTGATTCTGACTGATTCCTCAGCTGGACTTTACATTGAAATCATGAGAAGCAGATCTCTGTGGGTTTGCAGAAATCTGACCGGCTGGATCAAACCTTAAACAATAAATGAAAATGTCTTCATCAGAAAGTTTCATGTCTTTATTTAGTCTCCGTCTCGACCTTCTGTGTGAGATTAATAGAGTAAGTGGAAACAACAACATTACAGAAGATTTCTATTTCAAATAAATGCTGTTCTTTTTAACTTTCTGTTCATCTGTGAATCCTGAAAAATAAAATGTATCACAGTTTCCACAAAAATATTCTGTTTTCAACATTGATAATAATCAGAAATGTTTCTTGAGCAGCAAATCAGCATATTAGAATGATTTCTGAAGATCATGTGACACTGAAGACTGGAGTAATGATGCTGAAAATACAGCTGCGCATCACAGAAATACATTACAGTTTAACAGATATTCACATAGAAAACAGCTGTTTTAAATTGTAATAATATTTCACTATTTTACTGTATTTTTGATCAAATAAATGCAGCCTTGGTGAGCAGAAGAGTCTCTTCCAAAAACATTAAAACATTTTGAATTATTCAAAACTTTTGACCAGTATTGTATATATAAAGTTTCTTTTTCAGGTTTTTACAGTGATTGTTTGGGGTCATAGGCTAACACACACATAGGTAAGGCAGCTGAGGAGAGAGTGTGTG